TCCCGTATAACTGAGGCACAATAGAATTAGAAACACCGTACGCTAGTGATTAGCTTGCGATAAGAACTGATGTCAACTGGGATACCCTACTTGCTGACTAAAGAACTTGATAAGACAGTCTTCGAAAGGTAAGGATAGAGATACTTTAAGCAGATCTAGTAATGACTTGCAGTAATATGTTGAGCACTTTAACAAGCACTTTTCTAGAGATCCGTAAAACTTTCTACAACTCAACAGCTTTGAGCATATTGTCTGATTAAGAGAAAAAAATAAGATAAAATCGATCGATAATTGAACGACTAACAATCTAACGACCAGCGTTTTCATTGCCCAGGGTAGTTCGAATCATGTCGGCCCATTCTTCTGCACAAGCGCTGCAGTCCGAAGACGCTACTCCGACAACTGCCGGTTCAACATGACTACATCGGGCATATACTCGAATTTTCGAGAAGTTATTACCACCAACGGAACGCAGTGCAGCACCAGGAATCTGTAACGGAATGTTTATTTCGTTGAAAGCGAGAACATTGTCAGTTAAAAGTATAAGAAGGAAATTAGGGCGTCATCCGGCGATGGGGGGTGGGGGGTATTATTGCTCTTTTGCTGCTCCATTAGTTCAGGTTTACAAGTCTCACTCTGGTGAGACCTGTCAACTCTTGTAAGCTCATGGAACATTCCATGAAATAACTTTCAGCATAATTCACAAGAGTTGACATGTACACTTTACGAAAGTTGACAGGTGATCTCTATAAACTTTGGCTGGGACTATGGCTTCACAAGATAGAACGGGTCTCCACTTAATAGCTCGGCTCGTCGATCGAAAGTAGCAAAAAAGCGAACCTCCCCCCCCCCATTCGCCGAAATGCGCCAGATAGGTATTCTCGATAAAAAAGAAAGGTTAGAAGTGATTTACCTCGACGCTTGTTATACATTTTGTTGGAGCAACCCATGTTTCCAAAATGTCAAGCTTCTCATCAGCCGATAAAGCATCCTGCACACCAGGTTCGTCCCATACCTGAAACATGTCAGGGGTGTATCACCAACTCCTTTAGGCCTGGAATAGACATAGGATGCTACGGGAACTCCCTTCCTATTCCATGACATACAACTAGCTCGATATGTTTATAATACGAAGACCTTAAATTCGAGAAAAAGAGAACAAATCAACTGGTCAATCTTTGAGAGATTCGCCATGCACTTAGCCCGCACTCGAAATCGCAAGAGCATTCAAATGCATGTTAGGCCTTCAAATCGGCACTCGGCATTGGTTAGCGTTATTGCCCACCCTTATGAGATCGGATCCCGTTTTAACAATCTTGAACGGCTCAATCTATACACTTGTTCGAAGATACATCACTGCCAAGATTAAGAGAAGGTCGATCCCGGACGAATCCCACTTTGTTTGAAACTCTCTCTCTCTCTCTCTCTCTCTCTCCTCCCTCTCTTTCTCGGAGTAGTTTGGCCGAAACTCAGTCTCTGGGGCTGGTTTGACCTTCTGAGCGCAAATGCCATCCGCTCGTAGCCAAAAGGCCTCGCCCGCGCGCCACAGGCACCCCTGCTCTCAGCGCATAGTTTAGACGTTTTCTCGTCAAATGGATGCGACAGTCGAATCAAGAAGATCAAAGTAATCATCGGAAAAGTTTCAGCTAATCTGGTGTTTCATGAAAGCGCCAGGGTTAGTGAAGTAATCCGTGCTTAGAGGGGTTTATGTTCTTCCCTTCCTTCACTGACGAGCACAATGAAAGGTCGTTTTTGCTCGGCTCACTGTCCTAATGGGCAGCGTGCTGAAACAGAAGCTAGTTTTCCTTTCAACATCCCTTGATATGTCTCATTTTTTTGCATATTTTAGCAAAGTCAGTGAATTTTCATTTTTGACGCTTTTTCTTGGTGGTGAAATCTACAGTACTCACCATAGGCCACAACCGCCGTAACTGACTGTTGCGTTTCTTGTGTGTTCGTTTATGGGGCGAGAGTACTGTGAATGCAGCTGAAAAAGAGAATTTTTTGACGTTCGATTGACAGTCCTCATGATTAGCAACCACTTCCCAAGCTAAACCAGCAACAGAACGAAGTGCTGCATCCACCTGTATGAGAGATGATTCTAAGCGAACAAAAAAATAAAGGTGCAGACAGGATACAGCATCGTGATGTGTGAAATGGTGGTTTTGGTACGACCCCCCTCGAAAGAAGGCCTCGGTACGACCCCGCTTCCATCTGTGTCACCTACCTACCAATGACTTCACATTTTCTCGGTTTTTTTCCGCGGAGCATGGAGATTTTTCCGTCGAGAATTTTGAAAATTTCTCTATTTTCCGCAAAAATCATAAACTTGCGGTCGGGAGGATAAAGCACATGTGAAACAGGAAAAATCACGAAAAAGGATATAACCGGGAAAAATATTTTCTAACTCAGCAAATTCCTTTCGAAGGCACATACGACCCTTCTCTCCCAACAACGACCAGATACTACCCTCCCTTCCCAATGGAAAAGTACGACCTCCCGCCTTGCTTATGTGATTTCACGACGATAACGATGTCTGTACCCAATCGGTGGCCTGAATGGTGACAATAGAAAGGAATATAGGTACCGTTTGGCATCCGGAGTAAGCCATTGGCGAGCTCGTCTATTGTCTCAATCGCAGCTTAGGACATATGCCCCGCTCATCCGAACACGAATGGAGTCCTAGAGCGCGATAGACAGAAAGGGCGTAACTAAGCCTGTAGATCTTCTGCATGATGGAGCATTAACGGGATGACGGCAGAGAAAATGACGAGAAACTGCCTGAAAACCAGTACAACATGGAATAATACTGCAGTTTCATGATGAAATTGTTCAAGGTTTAAAACCATGGGACATACCTGAATTGTTGGCAAGTCGCATCCTCTAAGGCGCGTCATGAGTTGCTTTTGATCGAACGATGTGGAAACACTATCTTCAAAGAATAATTAATTACTAAGGAGGGTCAAGATTACGCGACTCGGAGCAATTGTGAATGTGGACAAACCTTCATCGTAAAAACGAAGTTCAACTTCAGGAATTAATGTTGGTTTAACAACGAAAGATGCATCATCAGGCAATGAAACACATCGCTTTGCAGCCCCAGCGCCGTCCTGCTGTAATATTACTGTTCGCGAAGCATCGAAATGAAATACCTATGACCATGATGCATACAAGAAGTATTCTACAGCCTTTTTCACTGCGGACGAAATGGCGTACCAGACGGGATGGGGTTGGCGCGGCGCCAACTCTGTTTTCCACCAACTGTTGAAGCGAGCAAGCGATAATATTGCATAGTACCGTTCGCATCAGTCGTTTACCCCTAGTTCCGGTCGCGTACCCGCTTCAACACTGCTGGAAACGAGTCTGGCGCTGCGGTAAACGCATCCCGCCTGATACGCCCATTCATCCGCAGCAAACAAGACTGTATGCCTAGGCATCACTCTATTGCTCCCAGCTAGTGGGGGAAACCCAGTAAGGCAGGATAACCGGTCCAGGAGAACTGCCAGACACCTGCAGAACTGTGAGCAGAAGGTCCTACTGTTCCAATAAATCAGTGATCAGTTGAAAAGACAAACCTTTTGTGCCTGGTAAAAGTATTTCTTCGTTAGAGATGGAGTTTTATCCGATGGAACACCACACTGTGCGTAATCATTCCTGCCCCACCCAAAAGTCCGCCCATCCTTTGAGACGCCAATTGTATGATTTCCTCCTGAAGCAACCACAATTACACCCTGACAACAAACTATTACGGTGTCCGGAAAGTTTTGAGAAAATTTCGCTGCCTCACTTTGAGAAAGCGTAGCGCGCGAAGGCCATGAGCAAATCTGTAGATCAAAACATGGGAAGATAGAGGATTGTCTGTAGATCAAATCAGCAGCTGACCAATATTTCATTTCGTCATTAGCCTTTGTTGTAACCAATCGAATAATGTGCGACAGACACTACAGTCGACGCATCCTACTTCATCTTTACCGTTCCGGCCGCTCCGCCACTCAAGCGAGGAATGAGTCGCTGTCGTCGATGGGTGGCAATGCACCCTTCCTTGCAAACTGCTACACGTGGCACGACCGCTTCGCATTGGGAAAGTTTAGCCCTGATGAAGCATCTCGATGCGGACGCCCTCCCTCTTCCAACAC